TTGTGAATTTAGATTTACGATGTGTAATTAAGACGAGAGATTAAAATAAAGGGGGTGGGGTAGGGGATAAACACGGTGAAAGTAAGGGGTGGGGAAAAAATTCGTTGTTGGAAAGTTGTTTGGGATTGGGTGGTGAGATCGCAATCACTATGATTATGCGATCGTGATAGTTTTACGAATATACGTGTGTATTAAAAAAAGAAAAAAAGAAAAAAAATGGTCGAGAGGATTGATTGGAATTTTGAAGAGACGAAAGGCATAAATTTGAATCGATGGGGGCGAGGAAGTGATTCATATTTATGAATTCGTTCGGGATAATTTAAGTTTTTTTTTTTTTTTTTTTGTTTTTTTTTTTCTCCCTCGTGGTCTCACGAGATCTTTTTTGATGGCGTACAAGAATTTATACATATATACATATATAAATATATATATATATACACGTATATGTATACACGAATGATTCGTCATATTTACGTTTTATTGTAATTTTACATGATCCATATCTGATCGTTATGATACATTTCAAACAATAAAGAGAAACGTCAGGCATAATGATTCTGTCTTCTTTCATCTCGCAATCCCTCTTTTCTTTTATTCGATGCAGGTAAGACTTTCGTTTAATATATAAGATGATAACTTTTTTCTTCTTCTTCTTTCATCAAGTAAAAAAACTAATGAGTAGTTGAAAATATAGAATTTGATATACATATATATGTATTATATTACATTATTATTTATGTTTGTTAACTGGTTTAAGTTAAATTGAGAAACGTGTAATGAACAGAGTATGAAATATTACTCTATTGTAATGCACAATGTAAATAATCGGTTACTAGCTTCAGTTATTTCTGTAAACCCCTATCTATTCCTCCAATCATAACCATCACAGGCTTTGGATCTTTTACATAACATTAATTCATTCAATGTTTAACTTAACTGCTTAAATACACTTACACGGGGAACATGGTTATCTGCATCTTATACCAAGGATTGTGGAAACATAAAATAAGAGTTCTTAGTAAGCTTCGCAATCTTATCGTTTTCCATAAGCATAAAGTCACGTTAAACTTTGTTGTTAATGTTTAAAATATTTAATTCTAGAATATGATAATTATTTATGCTTCGTTAAAATTAATAAACAGTATTATAATCTTTCTTTACTCTCTTAATATTTTAATTAATATTTAAATAATTTTTACTTGACTCTTTTAAAACTATTCTTTTATTCGTTCCTTTATCAACTAATTTCTACTTACAATTCTCATCTGGTTTCTTAAAAAGTTATTCTTCTGTTTCACCAATAAAATTCTTTTCCTCCTTTCCTTACCTCTTTCTTTCTCCATTATTTTTCAAGATCTCAAATATACCAGAGCAAAAGCTACCCTATCAGTTTCCTTAAAAAATTAATTTCTACTTCCACAATTCTCTTTTCCAATTCTTTCTTTCTTCCTTCGCGTTAAAGATATTGCTTCACTTATATTTTTCTACATAAAGAATTATTAATTAATTCCTAAAAAAGAAAAATTAATTTCCTCCCCTATCCCTTCTTCTCCCATCTTCCTCTTCAAAATACCACACCCCTTAAATTCTCCCTTCTAAATACCTATTCTCGACCCGTGCTTCTTCCTTCCTTCCACATATTCCACTCTCCACCATCCTCATTTCCGCCATCACCGAGTCGAAAGTGATTCACGCGAAGATAGGGGAAGAATTGTGATAACAGGTTGGCCGGAATAAAAGCGATTAGAGATCGGTGAAAGGAAAGGAGAACAATTTAGCGGCCGGTAAACAGTGGAAAACGGGAAATCTAAATCCCAGCCAAAGGATTTCCTGCACCCTCTTCCTCCAACCTGGTTAATCCATCCTCCAGTATTTCGACTTATCGGCTCGAGAATTCACTCGCCTCCTCCTCTTCCAGATTCGATTTCCAGATTAATTAAGGATCGTTGGCCTGAAAGAACACACCCAGAGAGATCCTCTCCACTCCCTCCCTCTTACAGGAAAACGCGTAACGAGGAGTTCGCTTCCGTTTCGTGAGACATCGAAATCGATAATGATATCTCTTTTCAATGATTTGGAAAAAAGGCTCTCTTTAATGAGAAAACTGCAATTCGCAGAGACGTTCGAATTCGCGTCTTGGCCACTTGATCGTTAACAGAGAGAATTGGATTCCTCTGTTAGGAGAAACTGAGGGGGTTCGTTTACGATACACGGAGGAATGGTTTCGATTGATCGATTGGGTTCATGGTTGATAATGTCCTCAGAGTTGTTGCACGCAGTTGCACGTTTGAAGATCAGGAGAGTGGATAATGAGACGAGTTTAAGGATCGTTTTAAGATATTTTTGATTGATGAAATATATTGTTTAACAAGATAATTTTGCAGTTGTTGAGAATCGTAAGATTGGATAATAGAACGAGATTTTATACGTATATTTTTGATTGCAAGAGATATTGAGATCTTGCTAATAAATTTAAATTTTCTATTTCCTTATTTCGTTTTGTTATAAGAGTTGCGATTGTGCTTGAAAGTGTCGCGTGATCGGATTGTGGAGGGCCTCTTTCAAGTATTATATTGCACGGAGTTTGAAGTTCGTACATATGATTGACAGATATTGAAACATTGATAATAAGGTCTTTTGTGATTGAAAAAATGCTTCAGTTATTCTAATTTTGTTCATCTATTATATCTTATATTGATATTTCCGTCGTTATTATATCAATCGCGATGAATGACGGAGCAATTTAAATTTCTATGAAAAGATTATTTTGTGGTACACGTGGTACATAATTTATAAACATAGCTTAAAAAGAATGAATGTAATTATTAATTTGTATATATCATTTTTTCAAAATAATTAATATTCAATAATTATTTAAATAATCCCCAATATTTAATCCAATTGGAAGTTTTTAAATCTTGTGATGAATTATTACAGTTCGAATGAATTGACAAGTGACGCGCCGCACAATAAATATTCTAATTTCATAATTTTATATCTTTCATTTCCTGATTACAGTAAAACTTTCGTTTCAAAATCCCCCTTTTTCGCATCGACTATTCTCAATAACCCATCGGGGTTAAATCTACCCCGAACGAAACCAGTTTATCTTCAAAATCAAACGCCTAAACCGTTTAAACCATTTTTCGAACCAACAAAATTAGCTAAATATCGATCACATTCTTCAATCAGCTCAATAAATAAATCTCTCTGTATTACGTATCTCGTTCTACAAAGAAAGAAAGAAAGAAAGAAAAAAAAAAGAAATAGCTCTAGAAATAGCGTTCGAGCATCAGTTTCAATGATCGGTTTCTTCAGTGCGCCAATGAGTTCGATGAGTTCGCTCGTTTCACCTGGAATGACCTATATACTCCTTCCACCCTTTCCAGATAACCCTTTCGAGATGATATGCTGCAAGGTTGGTTATGAAAGAGGGAGAGAGAGAGAGTGAGAGAGAAATAGGCAAAAAAGAAAGAAGAGGAGGGGTAAAAGAAAAGAAAGAAATGAGATCAACTCGGATTCAAAAATGGCCGCGAGGTTGTTAGCTTCAAGACGCTCGAAGGCACACGGGTAAACCCGCTATTATCTCGGCATTGTTTTATGGCTGTGACAACGTTGGAGCCAAAAGCTAGAACGCCACTATTCTCCGTGTAAAGGTAGGATGTGTGCTCGTGCTCGTTTGCAACCGTGCCGATTCTTATGGCCGTGCATCCGTTT